AGGCAAGCTGTGAAACACTTAAGGAACGCGGAGCCCCTCCCCAACGAAAAGGGTTCCTTCTTCAGGGCCCCGACTGTAGTCTGGTCAGCTGTGATGAGATTTGACAAGTCTCTTTTGATAAGAAGGCCCGCAGCTCATGGAGTGCACGGTGGCTCCTCTGGCTGCCTGGCGCAACCGGGACGCAACGCGAGGAGCGAGCCTAACCAGTAATCAGGCGGATGAGGAACAGCACGCAGGGGGGAAGGGGCGAGGAAGCGGAGGAGAGGGGGGCAGAGAGGAAGAGAGGGGGGAGGAGGGGAGAGCCTTGAGGAGATGCCGATGGGCTCCGGGCTCCTGGGGGGTTACTTGGTCGCTCTCACGGGGGGGGGCCCCTCCGAGGGGGGTCAAGAGGACGAGGATGAGAACTAGGAAGGGAGGAGAGGGAGGAGGAGGCGGAGGAGGAGGAAGGTGGAGGAGGCCGAGGAGGATGAGGGGAGGAGGGGAGGAGGGGAGGAGGATGGGGGGAGAGGGGGAGAGGAGGAGGAGGAGGAGGAGGAGGGGAGGAGGAGGAGGGGATGAGGATGGAGGAGGAGTGGAGGAGGGGAGGAGAGGGAGGCGGAGGTGGGGAGGCGATAGATGAGCACGACACCACGATGGGGGGTGGTGGGGTGGGGGGGCGGAGAGGTCGGAGGGCGACGAGCCTGGAGCCCGCAGGGGACGGCGGGCCCGTCTGCAGGCGACCTCCCGGCCGCGGGGCCCCGCCCGAGCGCCCGCGCGTGCGTACCGGCGGGGCGCCGAGGCGACGAGGAGAGCGCAGAGGGAGGAGGAGGAGGAGAGAGAGGCGGGAGGGAGGGAGGAGGCGGAGGAGGGACGACGACAGGAGGAGAGGAGGAGGGGGAGGAGGAGGAGGAGGAGAGGAGGAGGAGGAGGAAGGAGGAGGGGAGAGGAGGAGGAGAGGGGGGAGGAGGAGGAGGAGGGGAGGAGGAGGGGAGGAGGAGGGGAAGGGGCGGGAGGAGAGGGGGGCGGGGATGGCGAGCGGGGGGGCGGGGGCGAGGGAGGGGAGGACAGCGGTATGGGAGCGAACAATGACATAAGCCTAACACTCCGGGGAGGTCTGCGCGGATTTTCTCGGATCGGCGCTGGGGCCCCCCAGCGGCGCCTCCGGCGCCGCCCCTGGCGCAGGGAGGGGGGTCCAGCGCCGATCCGAGAAATCCGCGCGGACCTCCGAGTTGTTATGTTTATGTCACTTCTTGTTCCCATGAAGAAGGACAAGGGAGGACGAAGGAGCGGGCGAGGAAGAAGGCGAGGAGGGGGGCGAGGAAGGCAAGGGGGACGAGCGGAGGAAGTCGCCTCCCAACAGCCTCCCCGCCCCCTAACCTCACCAGCCCGAGCACGGAGTCCCCACAGGCGGGAGGGCAGCCCTGGCGACAGGTGAATCCCAGACCAAGGCGAAGGATTTCCCCTAGTGGCAGCCTCGCTACGGCGCCATCCCGCAGTGCCAGGGGGAGGGATAGGGAAGGAGGGATAATCTGACAAGGTATTTGCTTGCGGCCCTCTCACTTGTGCTCATGGACAGGCATCGTGACGTTGCTCAACATGTGCCTGATATTGGCCAGTTCTTTGTGGATGTCCGCCTCCATGGTGATCTCCTTGTCCACGACCTGCTCTAAGCCTAGCTGCGAGTCAATGAACGCGACAGCACCGGTCGCCAGCAGCGCTAACCTGATACAGGCAGCTTGTATGAAAGCCTTATTCAAGACAATACCCCGGCGAATTGCGATTCCCCATCCCTGGCCTTGGTTTGCGTCCCTCAGCATAGATTCAACCGCTTGTATCTGACCGTGGAGTTCAGGACTACTGCAGCGTGTTTCCATGAGACGCTCGGTCAAGTCGTCCAAGGCAGTTGAGAGGCGAAATGGCGCCACCGCGACGAGAAAGACTAGAACAGCAATCTCGAAACAGTACACGGCTGCGTTGGCCCAATTGCTCACCATTCTCAATGCATGAGCGTTGATCGCCATGGTTCTCACGTGCTCGTAAAGCCAAATGCCACGGATCATCATCTGCATCGCGAAATACAGAAGAGGGAAGCCCAGGGCTGCAAGCTTGGGCCCGGTGTCCTGCACCAGCTCCGCGCAAGGGGCGTGGGCCTGCTCCAGGAAGTCGCTGGCCTTGCAGGGGATCGCTCTCTTCAGCTCCTCAATACGGGATTCAACAACGCCAAGTATGCGAGTGGTCGTGGACATAATTTCCAGGCTGAACATGAATAACATCACACTTCGAAACTTGGTACATGTATAATCCCATAGCTTTCCGTCTCGAACACCTTTAGATTTATCACCATACTCCGCCTGCCCTGCTGAAAAAGGCGGCTGAACTGTGCGGCACAGGTTTCCGAGGAACGAATCAACTCAGCAACGCGGACTTCTGTTGAGCTTCTTCAAGCCGCAGGGCTTTAGCACCCCGTGAAAGATGCCTGTGGAACTTGCGCAGGATTCTGAAATCTCAGAATTCGCTGTTTCCTCTGCTGCCAGGCGCGTAGGCTGCTCTGAGCCCCATGGCCCCAAAATGGCACACAAGGGGACCTTCTATTCCCAGGACCTGGGGCACCGCAGGTCGCCTGGTCCCCTCCCCGACTGGAACTGCGACTTCCCCGAACCTCCTCCTCCTCCTCCTCCTTCTCCTCCTCTTCCCCCTCCTCCTCCTCCTCCTCCTCCTCCTCCTCCTCCTCCTCCTTTCTCCCCTCCCTCCCTCCTCCTCTTCCCCGAACCTGAGTGCCTCTGGCCGCCCGCCGCCGGGCCCCAAAAAGGATGGGAGCTGCCCGTCCCCAGACTGGGTGCTTCGGCTTCTGTTCGGGGGGCGCCGCAAACTTCCCCGACGCTGGGCCACTTCCCCTGTGCAGCGCCGCCTCCTCCAGGAGAGGGGCCCCCCCCCCCCCCGGAACGCTCCAGAGCCTCCCAGAACGACCCGTGACTCCAGAAACCAAACACCCCCTCGTGCTTCGACCCCGAACCCTCGATCCTCGAGGGGCACGGGTGGCCCCCGTCAAGTGTCGGGGACGCGCAAACATGGATTAGCGATCCATGGATGTGGCGCGCGGTCGGCAAATCCATGGATCGGGGGAGGTGCCCTCCCCAGAGTGCGGCCGGTGTCGCCTCGCTCGGCGGCGGCAATCCGCGATTGCCCATGGAAACGGGACCCGTCGCTAATCCACGCCTCCTTGATCCATGTTTGCTATCGCCTGATCTGTGCGCCCTGGGACTTGCAACATTGCCTCGAGAAGCGGCATGGATTAGCGCTGCCAAGGCCACGGCCCTTGGTACTATGTTGTTTCCGTGGCAATGCGAAGCGCTGCTGCGCACGTGCATGCTGCTGCTTGCTGCCGCTTTGGCGTCATCTTCGTGCCTCTTTGGGCATCCTTTGGCGCCTTTCGTGCGATCCGTTCAGCCTCTCGTGGCCTGTGGGGCCTTTTTGGGCCCCCCTGAGCCGTCTCGGCTTAAAGGCTGTCCGAAAACTCCGTCGGGCCGTTCGGGGCAGTCCTGGGGGCCTCCTGGGCCCTTTTGGAGATCTCCTGGGAAGTCCCCCGAAGGCCCACAGAAGGATCCAGAGACCACCAAATATGCAAAGTCACGCCCTCACATGTTCTCGCTGTAACTTCCACGACTGCTGTGGGACGCGCAGACCAGTTTGGCCACATTGGCTTTCCAAGAGTTAGATCGCGGCCCAACGTTTAGCCACATTCCTGTTTTCCGAATGGCAGGATTTGGCGGTGACTCGCCGTAGGCGACCGATGCATATAGAACGTTGCCACTTGAGCGACTACGAGCAAAACGCCAACGGTCGCAACCTGCCATGTGCTCTTGTTCTCAGACTGCCACCTGCATCGTCAAACATATGACTCGAGCCGCCCAACCAGCGACGAAATCCCGACCACCCCAAACATTACTTCAGCGTCGTGTTCCTGATTCCTGGTTTCTCCGTACGCCCTATCCTCTCGTCTCCAATGACAACCTCAATCCGACGACACCGGCCTACCGAGAACCCACGTGCCTGAGTCGAGACCCCTACCCCGCCCCACCGCTGATGTTTACATCCCGCCCCCCACATCCCGCCACAATTCCTCCCAAATGGCCCAGGTTTGTTTCATGTCCCACCTGGTTCGCGCAGTGTCTGGCAATCGCGCCGCGAACAACGGATTCGCCAGATTGCCGCGAAGGCAATGAAGGAGACCGGCGCAGTAGAGCACTTCTGCTGCGTCACCTGCAAGCGGAAGGACACGTCCTGCATGCAAGGGCGCCTGGACAACTGCTGCACATGTCAGGGTACTCATAGAAAACGTGACAGCCGGGCACAGCAAGCATCTTGCAAGGAAGTCCTCTTGCCCATCGGAGGCAGCGCGTTGGTGCGAGCGATACGCTGGGACCATTCCAAGTAGTAGAAGAAAGCCCATGATGCCTGCAGGGGCCTGCAGGTACCAATGTGTCTCACGAAGGACGATCGTCATCCTACTGGGCGAGGCCACGGTCAGATAGTATGGCACCTTCCCTGCCGCCAATCGGTCGAGCGTCGCTGCCCTGTAGGGCTTGCCGTTCAAAGAGACAAAACGATCTCCTGCTTTGAGGCCAGCACTGTCCGCCTGTGAGCCTGGTGCCACCGACGTTATATACGTCCACCACGATGCATCGCCCTTGATACCTATCTTCCCAGGTTCAAGGATGACGGTGTGGTGGTCTTCATCGAAAAAGCCCCTCCCCCCGGCAGGCGAAGCCGCTTTTGAGGGTGAGGCCGCGTCGCCCGTACCTTCGCGGCCGGCGCTGGCGCCTATCGGCGGCGCGCCGAGGGGGGGGAGGTGAGATGGGGGCTGGCCTTATCAAAAGGAGGCAGCGAGGCTTCGGAGAAGTCCAGAAGGCCGTTCCCAAGCCTCCCAGAAGGCCAGAGGCCTTCTGAGCCTCCTGACATGACCCGCCCCCTCTGCCTTCCCCCCGTGGGCGCGCCCCCGAGCCTGCGCCGGCGCTGCCGGAGGCGTCGCGCGCCGGCTCGCTGGGCTCCTGGGCGGCGAGGGCGTCGCCGTCGAGGTCGGCGCCGACGTCGCGGAAGGCGGCCAGCGGCCACGCCAGGGCGGAAAGCCACGCGACGGCGCGCATGGGGCGGCAGGCGCCGGGGCGCGCAGCAGTCGCCGACGGCGCGGAAGTGGATACGCGGGGCCGAGAGTCCCCGACCTGCGATGCGACCTGCGTGAGGACGGGCTCGAGCCGTCGCGGCCCTGGGGGGCGCAGAGGGAGGAGACGAGGAGGATCGCCCTTTTACTCAGGTGCCACGGCCTCGCCGCGCCGACTGGATCGCGGGCGCTGTGTTAGGAGGAGGGAGAGCGGCATGGACATCAACTTTTGGCGCTCCGCGCGGAGTTCTCGGATCTGCGCTGGACACCCCCTGGCGCGCGGAGCGCGCCAGGGGCGGCGCCAGAGGCGCCGCCTTGGGGGCCCAGCGCGGACCCAAGAAATCCGCGCGGAGCGCCAAAGGTTTCTGCTCATGCCGTTCTCCGCTCCACTACTCGCAAAATAACTACTCGAAAAATGGCCCAGATCCGCAGCGGGGGATCTACGATACATTACATCAAAGCAGACACATGTTTTTAGGACGTGTGCGAGTAGGCACTTTGCGAGTAGTGGAACGCGCTCGATGACATACGGCCGAATCCGGAAACCCTGCAGGAGGAGGAGGATGAGGAGGAGGAGGAGGAGGAGGCCATGAAAAGGGAGAGGAGGAGGAGGAGGAGGAGGAGGAGGAGGACGAGGAGGAGGAGGAGGACGAGGAGGAGGAGGAGGAGGAGGAGGAGGAGGAGACGACGTAGCCGATGCGGACGGTCCAGCCCGCACGGGCTCCAGCAGGGTGGCGCTGAGGGTCTATTTCAAGCCTCCCTGGAGGCAGCGAGCCCCGTGGCCACTTTCGCCACCTGCTGAGCCCGTGTAGCCGCGACAGCCCGAGGAAAAACGATCGCGTCTCTGGAGCTGCAGCGCGCAGCAGCTCGAGAGGCAAAGAAACGAGAAACGACCCCACCCCCACCCGCAGTCAATTCCCCAGGCCGCGCCCCCCCCCCCCCCCCCCACAAGAGAGAGAGCAGAGAGGCACTGCGAGTGCGAGAGGGCCAAATCGCCGACTTCGCAGCAGACCAGGACGATGCTGTGAGCGGGGGAAATCCTCGACCGCAACAAGCGAGGCCTCACAGTGCCAAGACCAACCCCCAACCCTCGCGAAAGTCCCACCACCCCATCCCCAAATTCGATAAACAGACGGCGAAAAGCGGCAGCTACCGCTCCATGGCGAGCTCTGCTGCACCTCTGATGTCATACGCGCGCGCCAAAGACATCGACGTGCGCTGTGTAAAGTCCTTCGCTGTGTGGTACATATGCCATGCGAGCACCACGGCGCGCAAGCATTCTGCGCGCGTGAGCTCTGAGCCTTCGCACTCGTACTCCGCATCCCATCCCAGGCCGAGCAGCGTGAGAAGAGAGCCTGGGAAGTCGCGCCTCCTCCATGGCTGGTGCATGGCGAAATGATGAAACATGCGCGGGTACTGTAAGTCGTGTGATATTTCGTCGTGCTGCTGGCAGCCTCATATACAAGTGGATGGCGGGGTGCCGATGCGCAGCCCATGCGTAGTCGCCCACGCCCCGCAGAGGGTTTTGAAAATGCCCCAGTGCCAGGCAGGCTTGAGCGTAGCGAGACAGGTCTTGCAGTGTTCCCACCATCCCGCTGCCGACCTACGCCCCCCAGGAATTGTGACCTGCCACGCTGGAAAACGCTTGCAGAGAGTGATAGGGAAGGTATCAGGGAAGGCGTATACTCGAAAGGGAACGTGCAAAGATGCGCTGCGGGTGCGGGCGGCGCGACTCGTCCATTGCGAGTATCGCGTGCCCACGCGCTGCCTGAAACGCCGGTAAACACCCTCGGCTGTCATGGGGGCGGGGCGGCGGAAGCCTCGCGCGCTCTAAGAATTGTCAATCGAGCAGGGCGCTTCCAGCAAGGGGCAGGGCACTTGCCTGCTGGGAAGCGAACAGTCGTGGCACTGTCCTGTGCGCACTCTTTCGAACTGTGTAATGCGCTGTGCCGCACATGATTCATTGTGTGAAAAAAAGTGCGCCAGCTGCTGGCCCGCCCTAGCAGCGCGACAGAGGATGGTGTGATAGCAAGCAGCGACGGAAGGGCATTCAGATCAGCGAGACTGAGACTGTTCGGCGGGAGCCTCAGCAACTGACGGAGCGCCTGATGCTCAAACTTGCGAAGCATGGCAGGGATGGGAAACAGCTGAGCAAGATGCGAGAGAGTAGAGGGAGCGCGTGAAATGTAAAGAATTGAAAGCACACTCGGCGCTACCCTAGCGAAGGGGAGGGCAATAGTCCGCGACCACCATTTTCCCGCTGTAATGGCCCAGATAATCCCTAGCGTGGCCGCGGGCTCCATTACTGCTCCTAGGTATGTGGTGTGGCCCGCAATGTTAAAGTCGTTCCTGTGTGGAATCCAACGGCGGAGCTCATTTCGGACCTTGGCCTGGACTTCGGCCGTGCACTCAGTCCACAGCGGGGCCAGGACGCATTTGGCCCCCTGGAGCTTGAGAAAAGCAAGACGTTCGATGTCCAGAAAGACTTGTGAGACCCCCAACAGGTCGCGAAGGCGAGGCGTTGCCATCCCGACATCGTCCGCACACCCCACCAAGCGCGCCCTTGTGATGCCTCGCCTGCGGGAGCTGGGCGGCTGCGCGCAGGCGTCTAAGGGCGGGGCCCATGGCCAAGGCCCAAAGGGACTCAGATAAGGAGCATCCCTGGAGCACGCCTGAGCAAATATTAAATAAGGAAGGCAGAACGGTTTTGGATCCTGGCAGAACCTCTGGGAAGGAAGCACAACGTTTGAATGAAGTTCAATAACATTGGTGGGGGCCCTAACCTACTCAAGATCGCGAACAGCCATTCGTAGCCCAGGGACGGGGACGCCGCCTCGACATCGTAGGCGACAAAGATGGGGGGGCCCGACTCGTCCCCAGGGGCGATGCTGGCCTCGCGTGCCTCAGCGTCCAGGGAGATGAAGTTGGACAAGAAGTTACGCCCTGGAATTAAACCTAGTTGGGCCTCGCGGGCACGCTGTTGAGCAACCGGACGGAGCTGAAAGGTTGCAGCTGATGTCATGAGATTAGTGTCGGTGTTCCGAAGACTAAGGAGTTTGACCTCGCCAGGGCGCCTCGCGCGCACCCGGGCATCTTCCGGCTCCGAACCTATGGGCAAGAAGGCGAAGAGGCGATCATTGAATTCCAAGGGCGCTGCGTGTCCACCGCACAGGTGAGCCATAAGCCGATGCAGGACTGTTAAGCCTTCGGGTCGAGCATTCCAGGCAGAGTATGAGAGTTGATCGGGGCCAGGGGCAGAACGTCTAGCATGAAGTAGAGCTCGGCGAAGCTCGGCTTCAGACGGTAGTCGACGATGCAGAGGGGCTTGCTGCGGGGCCACCTTGTCGAGGCACCCCTGAAGGGCCTGATTCTGAACTGCTTTAGCGCCAACTATGGGTTTTCAGTGGGAGGTAAGGGCGGCGGCTACCTCGTCGGGGCATCTGGCTATAGCCGGGGATTCTTGGAAACTTTCGGGGCAGATCCTCGCGAGGGCGAGAGGGCGGGCCCTGGGGGGCCATGGGTTGGACCGCCGCTTGCGCGCGCGGGCTGCTCGCATCTCGTCCTCTGCCGCTGCCCCCATCCCCCTTGGACGCCCTGCTTTCAGCGAGCCTGGCGTCCATCTGTCCGCGCTCGTAGTTGGCGACGCGCAAGGTGAGGGCGAGCTCGCCCCTTTCGCGGAGCTCCACGATGCCACTC